CCTTTAAAAAAAAAAAAAAAAAAAAAAAAATCAATAAAAACATTTAAGAAAAAAAGAACAAAGCATATCTCAGTGCTCATGACTAAAGAAGCATATCAAGTAGGAATTGGTGGGAAAGTGGCTTTGATTTTCAGTTTGTGCATTCTGAATCTACTCCAAAGACAGAATATATTTTGGAAAACTGATTTAACTGTTGTCTTACCACAATGAGACAGAAAATTATAATAAAAAATGTTGTTACTCCAATCACAGGTGTTGCCATGAGGAGTTTCTTGTTATATCCTGGCACTTTCCTGGCCTAAAATAAACAAAAAAACAACAACAAAGAACATTAAAAAAACAACAAAGACATGGAAAGGATAAAAACTATTCTCTGGCCTATTCTAAAGAATAGCTAACTATTCTTAACTACTACTCTAAAACCCCTCTTTCAAGTGGTTCTTAAAGAACATACCAAATCTAATATGTTATGTAATCTGAGATTTTCTTATATGATTTATTTATCTTGGGTGTTAGGTCCCCTTCTCGTCCATCCTAGGGACAGTGACACCATTCTCGAAATGAGCAAAGTGGAAGATCACTCTTAGCCAAAGTCACATGGTCAACACAAGATTCAGACTACGCTCCCTGGTCATGCTGCCTGGGGACTTTCACGGCATGTTCCTAAACTGACTAAAAGCCCAAGTCCTGTATTTCCGAAGCTGTCCTCACCTCTTTTGGCTCCTCTTCCTGTTCACCCTGGAATCCTGCCCTCTCATTTTTCCATTGTTCTGTATCCCACTCTGATTTGGAAACCTTTATTTCTTGATCAGTAAGAAGCTTCATCAGGAGGCCTGTTCCAGAAAATAGAGTCTCTTCAATTTATTTTTGTAACTTGATTGTCAAATTCAGGTTTAAGAGAAGGGTTCCCTCTGTTGTTTTTCAAATGGCTCGGGCATATCTGCATCGGGTACATTTGAAAAAGTGAGTTTAATGAATGGCAATAATGTTGATTCTATATCTTCTGCATTTCCCTCCAAGAAATAAGGCAATATGTAATTTAGTGCACTAATAACATCACTTTTATAATTAAAGTCTAGCTGCTCACTCATGAGGGATGATGAATTGTCACCATTTTTGTATGAGGGTGTCTTCTCTGCCACGATAGTCAGCTCAGCACTGGTGTTCCCCCGGCTTCGTAACAATTTCATGAACGGTCCTTCTATTAGTAGCTCTTCATCTGTCAACAAAATATAGAGCACTTTTGATACTGAAGGACTCATGGGACAGCTTTTTGTCAGTACACAGCCATATATCCCAGGGAAATAAATAGGGGATCAACAAATATTTGAGTGCCACATACAGATGAGAAAAATAAATCCCAACTTAAACCTATGATTGTTAACACAACATAAGGAGAAAAGGTATATTTTTTAAAAGTAGTTATATACTCAGAAAACTCCATAGTATGAAATATACTAACTATATCTAGGATTATTCCACTGGATCCCAAACGCCAATTGCCGGGTACTGAAGAAAAGCCAAGGCTGGAAGACCCCACTCAATTACACCCCCCGCAGATCTACTGTGACTCCTCACATTCATGTACCCCATCCTGTCCTGCCTCAGATGCAGAGGGAGCATGAGGCTTCCTCTCTCCACCTCTTCAGGGTGCTCCTATTCTTGCTACCATCGCAGATGACCACGATTAACACCCACTGCGAACAGGTCATCATCAGGACATGCCCTTCTCCACTTTCCCACAGATTCCTTAGCCTGGTCCCTGCTTCCACATATCCCAGCCCCTATAGCAGGAGGCTCTATACAGGAAAAAAAATGTGTCTACCCTTGCTCTTTGCTTAAAATTTAGGTAGGCATCTGGGATGTATGTTAAAGAGATTTGCCAGGTTGTGTACCACTGTAGACTGTTCAGTGAATCTATGGAATAATACTTGGGGTCCTAAAACACAGAAGGGGAAAAACAACTTTTGTCAGATGCCTACTGTGCTTTCATTTCATGTCATTTCTTATATTTTCAGCTTTATTTGGGGAACCAGCCAAAGCTTCTCACTGCATGAAGATCAAGTGGGCCATTGTGCAACTGGGTTTCTTTTCCAGAAAAATCAAAAGTATTGCTGCTGGTGGTTAGGGTCAGAGGAGGAGGTAAGTGTCCTGAGAAAGGAGGGGCATGGACTAGCGGGGAGCCCAAAAATGGGAGCCAGAGACCTGGGCATTAGGTGACAACATTTAGCACTTTCTGATCTTGTTGATCACCTGTAAAAGGAGATTAAAATGCCTGTTCTGCTCACCCTTGGGGTAGAAGGGAGTAATATAATTGGTCAACACATTGTTCTGAAAAATAAGAAACACTGTCTTTATATAAGAAGCACAGCGTTAATATTTATAATGTGCCCAGATCACTGACAGAGACTCGTATTCAACCCATCTGGGCATGAAAGCACATTTTGGAAGTTATCGAGTAGGTGCCAATAAACCTAATGTATAGAAAAATAATTGGTGGACAGAAAACCTTATGTTTCAGAGCAAGCTCAGAGTTGGACAGCCTAAGAATACAAGAGCCCTCCCATCCATTAGAAGGGCTTGGTAGCAGCTTCTGGTGATAGATCCAGAAATTCTCAAGTTCCAAATAAAAGTTTCATAAAACAGCATCATGTGTACTCTTTTTATAAACTTGCAAAAACAAACAAAATAAAAATGTTTCTATACCTGTCCTACAAGGCAAAGGGCAACTGAAACCTAATGCATAGAAAACAATTTACAAACTGTGACACATGAATGAACAAGTTCTCATTTGGAAGTAAATAAAGCACTAAGCAGGGAGCACAACACACACTATGTGGCCATTAATGTTAATTCCCTTCCCCCTTCCATTTCTCTCTCTTGTTCCTTCATCTGATGTTTAGTAAGGAGTAGTTCTTAAAATTTTAAAGAGTTGAACTCTGAATAAATGAATAAAAATAATAGTTATATTGTTTGCTTAAAAATTTATCATTAATTAAAAATAAAAAGTAAAGCATAAAATAAAAAATAATAAATTTATCATCAGGCAATTCATGCTCACCACAAGGTGTATTTGTCAGACATTCAGGGTCACATTGCAGACTGACTGTCTGGGAGACAGTCTCAATATCATCTCTAAATTGGCAGAGGCAGCAGGCCAAATGGGTTGGTAAGATCCTATAATTGGAAACATAGAGAATTATATTAGTGAGAAAGGAGTTACTTGAGTAGGTAGAGAGGTAGGCCAAGGCTACCACAGGGCTGGGCAAAAAAGAGTTGTTGGAGCATATGGCCTGAACAGTTTGGTATGNGAGCATATCGCCTGAACAGTTGGTACAGATCAGTTGGACACTTGTTACTCTTGAATATTGTAAATAAATAGGGAGGAGAACAGAAGTGCCCAACAGAAGGGTACCAATGGCAGTGGGTACGGGATGCCTAGAATAAAGGTGATGGGGATTAGAATTGGGTGACACTGATCTGTAGCTTCATTCAGATGTATCTCCTTCTCCCAACCCAGAAGTCTCACTTTGGGTTCAGAGTACAGAGAGAGGAAGACTTCTAACAAGGCTCTGGGTAAGCCCCAACTTACAGAGTCCCTTTCTCAATTCCTGACTGTAAGTGGTAAATATATTAGAAATTATTCTGGGCATAAAACATATTGTGTGGTTAAATAATAACAGATTGCCTTGGACAAATCTGGGCAATTTGAACATTCAAAAGAATAATGATAATAAGGTATAACATAATTAATTTAAAGAAGAGCCCATGAGTTCATAATGATACTCAAAAATAAAATAGGGGAGCTATTACTTATAGAATAATGCCAGCTAATAAATATAGATGAATAATAGAATTAGAAAAAATTGTCACTTTGTAAACAGCAATGCCATAATCAATTCAGGCACGGATTATAATTGATGCACAGTTGGAGTAAGAAGTTAAGAGTGGAATCTTTACTGATCCCAAAGTATCATCCCACAGATTAGTTATGAATTACCAAGGGGAAAAAATAACTTTACAATGGAGAGATCTGGAAGATACCACCTTCACCAAATTATCAAATTTAGCATTATGTGCCACTTGAAATGGTGAGGTAGGGAGAATACATCACCCAGATAGGATTCTTTCCAAAATGGTTTACCTTGAATCTAATCATGAGCAAAAAGACTAATCCAGACTGTGGGACAATTTACAAAACAACTATCTTAGACAGATAAAAAATGCCAGTGTTATAAAAGACCCCCTCCACCCCCCAAAAAAGGGTAGGAAAATGTTTTAGACTAAAGGAAACAAAGACATGACACATGATGCCTGATCTTTGAGTGGATCTTAAATAAAAATAAAACAGATTTAAAGAATATTATTGAGGACCTAGCCAGTTTGGCTCAGTGGTTAGAGTGTCACCCCTCAAACTGAAGGGTCTCAGTTCAATTCCTGTCAAGGGCACATACCTGAGTTGTAGGCTTGATCCTGCGTGCAGGAGGCAACCAATTGATGTGTCTCTCTCACATAGAAGTTTCTCTCTCTCTCACTCTCTCCGTTCCACTCTCTCTGAAAAAGCAATAGAAAAAATATACTCGGGCGAGGATTAAAAAGTAATAATAATAATAGTAATAATAATAATATAATGGAATACTATTCAGCAATAAAAAGAAATGAATTATTGATACACATCACAACATGGATGAATCTTAAAATAATCATCTGAATAAAAGAAGCCAGTTAGAAAAGAGTAGATGCTGTATGATTCCGTTTATATAAAACTCTAGAAAATGCAAATTAGCCTATAGCAACAGAAAGCAGATCCATGTTTGCACCGGCATTGGGGAGGGCAAGGAGGGTGGGAAGGAGGAATTACAAAGAGACATGTTGAAACTTTTTGAGGTGATGGACAGTTTGACTTTGATGATAGCTTCATGATATAGGAATATATATATATATATGTACACACAAATTATTTTATGTCAATTGTACCTTTAAAAAGTTAAAAATAAATGATATAGACAACTGGGGAACTTTGAATATCAAGTCTTTATTATAGTATTATAGTGCAGGAATTTAATTTCTTCAGTGCATTAATAGTATTGTAGTTATACAGAGCAATGGTTTTGAATATCCAGAGAGGAAGTCATCTAACTGACAAGGGAGGGACTATGGCAGATGCTGAGGAAGGCTGAGGAAGGCTGAGGAAGGCTGAGGAAGGCTGAGGAAGGCTGAGGAAGGTTGAGGAAGGCTGAGGAAGGTGAGGCTAGAGCAGTCGCCAATAGATTCTACAATGTGGGGAAGACAGTCATTGGTAGGCTGACCTGTCAAAAGCAATTAGAGCAGACTGCTAATTGCAGAGCCCTTTCCCATACTAATTTCATGAAATCTCAACTATCCTGGACATAACAGCAAGATTCCATTAGCCTGCAATATTGGAAGGAGGGGCACAAATTAAGGTGCAGTAAGTTCTGTGATAAATTGTCACAATAGGGGTCCACAGAAATATCTTTCAAACTGCAAAATAATAATAATAATAATGATAATAATAATAACGGACCCTTACTTACACCATATATAAAAATTAACTCAAAATGGATCATACCTAAATATAACTAGATAACTTCTGGAAGAAAACACAGGAGAAAATCTCTATGATTTTGGATTAGGCAATGGGGTCTCACACACAAAACTTTCCTAGATAAGAAACAAGATGGCGGCGCAAGTAACAGCTGCACCCGCCGCCTCCCGCAACCACATCAAAATTACAACTAAAATACAGAACCACCAGCACTCAGAGCCTCCTGAGATCTGGCTGAACAGAAGCCCCACAACCAGGGAGCTGAAGGAGCACCGAGACGGGAGGAGGGGCGGAGACGCGGGTGGATCGGGGCTGAATTGGAGAGAGGCGCCGGGGCCCACACCGGGTGCCGCGGGGTAAACCCGGGAGGGACATCTCTGGGTGGGGGTTTCCCCACAGCCCCCAGCCCAGGGCTCCAGGGCCGGGAAGAGACGGCCCCACACCTTCAGCTGTGAAACCAGCGGGGACTGTCCCTGAGGGTCGCAGAGGCTGCGGGAGCCCCAGCAGCTCCTCTTAAAGGGCCCGCGCCCGGACTCACTCGGACGCTCCCTCTGAGCCCAGCGCCGGGCAGCAGCCTGAAAGGACCCGGGACACTCGGGGAGGAACTAACCTGCCTGAAATTGGGGCGAGAGCTGGAGGGGCAGCTTCCTCCCAGGCAGAAGGGCTGGCGGAGGCCATGGCTCCTTGGGCGAGTCCTCCCCCCACACAGCCGGCAGGCAGGCGCCATGTTTGAATCGCCAGCACCTTACACACCTTTGGCCCCGCCCTGTGACTCCCGGAGGCCCCGCCCCTCCCCACCTGCAGCTCATCCAGGCCATTTCCAGGGGCTTTTCTGTGCAAGTGGCCTCTTGAGCCTCATGCTTTGGGCTTTCCTAAAATCTCTCAAACAAGCAGCAGCGTGCCCCAAAAGTCTTGATAAGTGGCCCCACGCATGGCATTACTGGCAGCCTGCATTGGTTCATAACTTGTCCTCTCCTGGATACCGCCAAGCCCAGCAGAAGTATCAGCCAACTGTGGTTTGCTGTGTAGCTCATGCTGGGTAACCCTGGGCAGGGCACTGGCAGAGGCTGACTTTTCACCTCCCAGGAGGCCCCAGAGACAGTGAAGCTGGTGGTCAGACTCCACCATGCTACATTACAACCCTACCATATCCATGAGTGACACACTCAAGGGGTGCATATGGTGAACACCAAAACTCCATTGAAGTAAATCCTGCTCCATAAGGGTGTCTCAAGCACAGTGGCTCTTTGGCTGTTGTTTCAGCTGGTCCTGAAAGCTGATTGGCTGAGGAGGTCAGTTCCTCCCAGTGACGCCAATAGCAACCAAGGCTCAACTACAACAGGACAGTGCACACAACCCACACAGGGGAGCACCTAGAAGGTCAAGCTCAGGTGACTGGAGAGGCTGAGCCTCTGGACCCTACAGGACACCAACTACACAGAGCCACTCTACAAATTCCAGGAGACACAGCAGCTGTACCTAATACATAGAAACAAACACCTGGAAGCAGCCATAATGTGGAGGCAAAGAAACATGTCACAAAGGAAAGAACAGAAGAAATCTCTAGAAAAGGAACTNGTTGAAGGGTCTTCTTTAAGAAGAAGCTAATGAACAAAAGAACCTGATGAACTAAATAGATCCAGAGACATTGAGG